GGAGAGAGAGAGAGAGAGAGAGAGATTGCCTGTCACCATGGCAACCTACTCACACCTCTCCTGCCGGGTTTTCCAGGGACACCGGCCCAGAAACCTTGCAGCTGCAGCATCTATGGATGGCAGTCTCCCTCCCGTGAGCCCAGCCACCTCCCATTGGGTGTCTCTTCAGTGCTGCCTAAATTCACCATCACTGCCAGGCCCCATGGGGACACCACCAATCCCACCCCTACAGCCTGCAGTCTGAGGCTCACTACTCTCTCCCCCCCCTGCCCCCCCTTCAACATCTCTGGACCTGTGACCTCTGGCAGCATGGGGGGCCCTGGGCCAGGGCCATGCTCTATGGTTGGTGGCTCCCACCTGGAGACTCGAGGTGGGGTGCAGGTCAGGCGGAGAGCATGGTGGCCCTGGGTGAGGCCGCCTGCACCATATCCCAGAGAGGCTCGGGGAGGCGGGAGAGGGAGACTATGATTTGTTTGAAGGCTTAAGCCCTGGGGCTTCCTTTTCTCAGAAACTGGAGTGTCGGGTGAGTCTGCTCAGGCTGAAGCCCCAAGGTCTGAACTGAGCCAAGACGGGGTCCTAGCTGTGCTTTCCCTGCTGCCAGCACGCATCCCAGGGCCAGAGAAGGGGCCCAGGAGGGTGAGGAGAGACCCTGCAGGGTTTCAGTCACCCTGGGTGGGGGGGGGTGCCAGGAGCTGGAGTGGATTCGTTTTTTCCCCCCCATTTTGTTAGTGAGTGGTGCAAACCTGGAGCGTGCTGCTTCTGAAGGGCCCCGGCCTTGGAAACCCCGTGAGCAGTTCTCTTCTGTACCCTGGGGGGTGGGGGCGCCATGAGACAGCATCACCCTGGCAGCAGTGGGGCAGCTGGTTCAGCTCCTTCCTAGTCTAGCCCTCCTCCAGGTGTGACCTCTGGGAAGCGAGGAGCTAGGACCGGGTCAGCCCTCTGCTGGACACCGGCTTCCCTGGGGCTCAGAAAGGGCCAGGAGGGCCCCAGGTGGGCTTCTGCTCAAAGACAGGCGTCTGGGAGGTGGCCCAGGGTGAAGCCAGCACAGGGGGAGCACTCAAGCCCTCGGAGCGGTGCGGGAGGTGTTAGGCATGTCAGCGCCAGCCTGGCGGCTTTATACCAGCCTCCCTCTGACTCTCACAGGGGAGAGCGAGTGGCGGCGGGGAAGATGCCCTTGAGAAGGTCATTCGTCACCAGGGTCGTGCAGAACTCCGCCTCCCTGAGCGGGGCACACAGTCTTCCTTCATCCTTTGGCCTGGGGGGCTGGTAGGAGATCTGGGGGTTTTCTAAAGGGAGTGGGGGGCGGGGAGGGCATTGTCAATGGTCGCATCTTCAGCCTGAGACAGATTTTTAAAGGTCAAATTATATTTCTGGTTTGTTGTTTCAGAAGACCAATAAAGACTGTATTTTCGTATGTACTTCCTAGTCTTATTGGGCAGGATGGGGGTACAGTGCTGGGGGAGTCAGTTCTCCCCACCCCCTTAAACAGCTGGACAAAGTGCCGAGGATATCACAGATGGGTAACTCTCTCCTGGGGCACAGCTGGGAGAGAAGTGGGGGGCAGAGTCCCAGATTAAAACAAGATTCCCTAGCTGAGCGCAGCAGGCTCCTGGCTCGGCAGAGCTGGGAGGGCTATTTTAAATTCACCCACGCTTCATGCTGGCAATACCAATGCCTGAGGCTCTGGGGGAAGTGAAGGTGAGGCTGGGAGCCCCATAAGTGCCCTGCACCGTGGGGGAACCCCACCGCCTTGGCTGGATGTGAAAAGGCCCTGGCAGTGGGGTCCGCTGGCCTCAGATACTTGGAAGGCATGCATTTGCCCGGGACTCCTGCCGGGTGAAGTGAGGTAGGGAGGCCTGCCCAACAGCAACAGACAGGGTGGTATTGGTCATGGACAGGCCCATGGGGGTCATAACTATGGAGGAGTTCATAGCCAGCTCGCACTTGGACGATGGACCTGAAGGACAGACAGACTGCATTCTGGGTTCACAGCTCTGTCCCATCCACGGGCTCAGCACAGGAGGACCCAGAACCGCATGGCCAGCGTGGCTGGGTGGGGACAGAGGAGAAGACCTGGGGACTTGCTAGTCCGCCCCCAAAGCCCAGCCTCTGGCCAGGCCCAAGCTAAGAGGCCACTACTTTTCAGAGAATAAGACTTGAGTTTTTTCTCTGGTGTCGTGATGTCTCCTTCCCAGGAACCACCAGTGTTGCATTCCTGGGGGACCCTCTTGAGTCCGCAGTAGAAGCAGGCTGTTCCCCTTTCTGAGCGGTGCTAAGCATGGGGTGTTGACCTTCTCTAGCTGTAACAGTTCAGAGCAGACTTGAAAGAGCCCTGCTGCAGACACTGAGATTCACCTCACGGGTGGCCCAGAGGTTAAAGCAATACACTGTGAAGCAAGAGGTTGGCGGTTTGAACCTACCAGCTACTCCGTGTGAGAAAGAGGAGGCAGTCTGCCTTCGTGTAGGTAGACCAACAGCCTTGGAAACTCGGTGGGGCAGGTCTACCCTGGCCTGCAGGTCCACTGCCAGTCTGTAATTGCCTCTGCTGCTGCTGCAGTGTGCTTGGTCTTGGGGTTTGGGGTCATTCACTCCCAGCGCAAACCAAGAGCCCAGGGAAAGACTTGAAGGGCAGGCCCAGATGCAGCACAGTGCTCCTGGGAGAGACCCCAGGAATCCCAGACAGCAGACCTGAGCACGCAGGGCCCTGCGTAACACTTCGGGGGGCAAGCATGATGCCCCACAGCTGGGTGCCAAGCTAGAAGCACAGTCTGTATCAAATGGTAGCACAGTGGATTGACTTGGCTTGATACCCAAGTAGGGTTTGGGCAAGTCAGGTTTGGGTTCTGGTCCAAGAGCTAGAAAGCTAGGAATTTAGCACACACCTGTTCAGAGATTAACATTGTCTCTACCCATTCCTTGGATCCCCCAGAATTGTGTGCACCTGGTGAGCACAGAGCTGGTTGGTCGGGGTTCTGGAAGACTCCTCTTGCCTCCCCCCTTCACAGTCTGTTCCCTCCCCACCCCACCCCACCCCAGACGCTGTGCTCCCCTATTCAGGTGCTCAACCCTGCACACAGAGCCACCAGGGTGTCAACACTACCAGGACAACAGGCCCTCCCTCAGTGGCCCCTGGATGAGGGAGGCAGTGCCACAGGCCAGGGAGAGGAGACGACAGAAGACACAATAAAACAGAAGACAATGATCGCAGTCTGAGGTCTGCAGCGCCTCATCTTTTCCCTGTCACATCTACGAAGCCCGGAGCGTAAGCGCAGTCCTTTGCAGAGAGTTAAACCCAAGGCAAGCGGAGAACACGGTTTCCACGGCAACTCTGCACGGCTCTCATTCAGTTCAGAGTTAAAAATTATATCAAATAATTGGAGGGTGCGGGAGGGCTCCGCCTGTAGCTGGCCATGGCTCTTTCCCCAGCCTGGGCTCTTGCCCTTCAGGGGCACAGGGCCAGAGAAGGCTTGAGTCAAGGAGGGAGTCAGGCAGGGCGCACCGGGAACCACAGACCCATCTTGGTGGTGCGGGTGGGGGTCATGGTCTGTCTGGAATCAGCGTGTCATGATTAAGGAAAGAGAGAGCAAGACAGCACAGGCTCCGTTCAGATGGGGCAGCTGGGTTTGGACTGCTTACGCTTAGTGATGGTTGCTGACTAGGCCTGCCATCCCGTGTCCCTGTGTCTGACCTTGGACTGGGAAAGGACCCCTGAGCCTGGTCCAGGCAGGCCCTGTGCCCTCTCTTAGGCAGGGAGACAGGCTAGAGCCATCTCTGCCTCACCCATTGTGCTCCCTTCATGCCCTTGGCCCCAGGGCAGCCTAAGTGGGGAGGCTCACTGTCTGCCCATCCTTGTCATTCCAGCTTTGTAAGTTCTACTCCACTCCCTCACTGGGGTTCCTCAGTGCCTGGGAGCCAGACCTCTGGATGCAGGGCTGCTGCTCCTCAAGCGCCCATGGGGAGTCCCCTACACGATGCAAAGAGCACTGGTGACACAGTAGCTAGGTGCTCAGCTGCCAACTGAGAGGTTTGGGGGCAGAAAGGTCAAGTGATCTGCTTTGGGAAAGATGACAGCCTGTGGGGGGGGGGGTGTATCATGTGTCACCCATGTCATTGTGCGCTGACCCCACAGCACCCAGCCCCAACCCAGCAGGACATCGAAAAGGTTTCTGAGCCCGGCTTGAATCCACCCTGAGATATCTCAGAAGAGAGGCATGGCGATCTATCTTTCAAGAAACAGCCCTAGTGGGGGCTGTTATGGATTATATGGATGTGTTCTGTCCCGACACATTTGGGGGGGGGGGTTACCATGAGTTGGAATTGACACAAGTAATTTTTTAATGCTAATTAGTGGTGCAGATTTCCAGAGTACAGCTGGCCCAGATCACAGAAGTTGAAGACAGAGTAGGGAGAGTGCCCGCCCCCCCGCCACCGCCTAGTGGTTCTCAACCCCCCAGCAGGGCTGCCCAGGGCTTTGAAGGCACCAAGAAAGGACGGGGCTGGGAAAAGCTCGAGAGGTCCCTGGACGCCTGAGTCCCAGAGGTCTGCAGCGCAGGACTGCAGACCTGCCTGGCCTCTGGGGAGAATGACCTGAGATCTAACGGGGGGGCTTCGGTCGCTGCTGGCCGTGGGATGCAGGGCACGGGGTATGTTTGTGTCTGGGTTTCCTCCTCTGTGAAATGCAGCAGGCGCCAGTGGGCCGCCCTGAGGACAGGACGGGGCCAAGCCTGGCTCCTGGCACGCACTGAGCTCACAGTGAAGTCCCTGCTTTCAGGACCTGGGTCACGAGCCGAGTTCCCTCCTCAGGGGACAGCCAAGCCCCCCAGGGCGATGGGAAGGCAGCTTACAGTGAGGTGGGAAGGGGGCCTGCCTTCCGGGTTGCACTTCTGTTCTGTGAGCCCCCAACAGGTGGCTTCACCTCGGGGGACTTCATTGCCCTCACTTCGTAAATTCTTTCGGGGTCAACTGATGGGTGTAACCCTAAGTGGCTTAGGAAGGTCTCATGTTCCCTCATGCCCACGTTTTCTACTTAAGAAAACAGGCTGGGCAACTGTGGCCCCTCCAGATCACACTGGGGTTCTCCTGCCTTTCCTGTCAACCTTATTCTTAAAAAGAAGACAAACAAACAAACCTGTGTGTGTGTGTGTGTGTGTGTGTGTGTGTGTGTGTGTGAATCTGGCGTTGATTTACAGAGCAGATGGGTTTTCCATTCCACAAGCCATGCACATTTTGTTTCAGGTCGTTCATTGCAGCCCCACAGCGCAATATCACGCATTCCCACTTCCTCCCTGGTTCCGTTTCCATGCTCCCTCCTTCCTAACCTTTCTGAGTTTTGTCCTTGAGGAAATGCTGTCCTTTTGATCACAAATGGTTGATTACACTCCGGCACTGGGAACTGGGCCAATCGGGGAGCTTGCAAAAGCAGATACCTATACTTTAACCTGGATTGTGGGCTATGGTACCAACGTTTTTAATGGCCAGGGGAGGGCGTTGAGTTTTTTTTTTTTTTTTCTGAAAAGAGGGAGCTGTAGGCCAAGTAAATTTGGGGTCTTTTGTTCTAAGTTGCATGTTACAGTTCCCCTTATAGGACTACCCAGTGCTTGACAGCAAACAAAGTCATGACATGGGTTCATTTCCAGTACTGAAGGATGATGCAGAGCCAGAATCTCAGGGGGTTCTACCACTCTCTAGCTGACCAGTAAGCTGGACCTTTTAATGGTTTTGAGTTTTGTTGCACATTTTTCTTTGAGCCTTGTCCTTGTTCTTGACCCACAACCTCCCTGGCCTCGGGGCCACCAGAGGGCAGCTCCTACCTGCAACGATGGCGGTCTTCCTGTCCACGGTCAAGGTCACAGCTGTGCTCACTGTCACCACCGCAGGCTCGCCTGGACTCTCTGGGGAAACGGAAATTGCAGTCACTTCCTCAGGGCCTGGGGGTCAGGGAGTGGTAGGGGTGGGGCTAAGCCCTGCATCTTTCTTGGACCAGAAGAGAGTCAGTGTGTCAGGTTCGAGTTTGTCTGGACATTCTTCAGGAGAGAAGCCTGATGATTTACTTGGGACGCCACAGCTTCCAAATACCCTACGTAACAGTTTTGCCCTGACACACACGGGGTTGCCATGAATCGGAACATGAGCAGCAAAGACCTTCCTGGGGTGGCGGTGGGAGCCGAGGGTGTTTGGGAAGCTGTTGTGCTAGTCCGTCTCTATCACCGCCAGCCTTTAAGGGGGTACGTCCTAAGGGTCAGAGGCTGCTTGCCTTTCTCGGCAGAGCTGAACTTGCCGGAGAAGGAGCTGGCCCCTGGCCCCTCAAAACTGCAGCTGGGACGCTGTGATGTCTGCTCTGATGGAAGACAGCCCGTCAGTATTTGTTCAAGCCTGTCTCTGCTCGCCGCTGCCCGCTTCCGCTCCGGGCAGCATCAGCTCAGGGTCCTGCTGTGACCCATCCTCCCGCACATGTCTTCTCCACCAGACTTGAGAGACCTCACAACGACCTTGAGCTGTGACCGGGCTGTGTCTCAGGGCTGGGTGGTGGGGGATCCTGGGCTGCCCTTCCTTTCTTTTAAAAAAATCATTTTATTGGCGACTCTTACAGCCCTTATAAAATTCCATACCTCAATTGTATCAACATATTTGTACATATGCTGCCATAATCATTTCCAAAACATTTTCTACTTGAGCCCTTGGTATAAGCTCCTCTTTTTTCCCCTCCCACCCTTGTGAATCCTTGATCAATTACATATTGTTATTATTATTTCGAATCTTACACTGTCCGTTGTCTCCCTTCACCCACATTTCTGTTATTCGTCCCTTTCCGGGGGTGGGCTGGGCTATATATCCAACCTTGTGATGGGTTCCCCCTTTCTCTCCTTCCTCCTCCCAGGCCATCCTCCTTCCCTCATGATATTGCTACTTCCATGACTTCCTGAGGGGTTTATCTGTCCTGAATTCCATGTGTGGAGAGCTCTTATCTGTACCAATGTGTGTTCTCCGGTCTAGCCGGATGTGTCAGGTAGAACTGGGACATGGTAGGTGGGGTGGGGGTGGGGTGGGGGAGCATTCAGGAACCAGAGGGATGACGTGTGTTTCCTCGGTGCTGTCCTGCACCGTGGGCTGCCCTTGCTTAGGAGGCGCGACTCAGAAGTGACTCTCCTGGTCCCGCTCAGAAAGCCAGATGCTACAACCTCATCTGCCCCACAGGCCGCACGGGATCGGACACATCTCTGGCATTCTGTAAATCATGGCTGTTGGTGGGGCCAGCCTGCCCCCTCCACGCCACCCCCCCCTCCCCGACGCTCTTCTGTTTGCTACACTCTTGGCTCCTGCACCCCTGTGATACACCCAGCGCCTCGGGAAGGGCAGGAGGAGCTGTCCTGAGTGGTCATTTCCATGTTGCTTCCTCCTGGTGACCCCGTGCTCAGCAGGATCAGGCTCTGGTGATCCCTGGCTGGTTTTCAGAAGGAGATCCCCAGGCCTCTCTTCCTGGTGTGTCTTAGCCTGGACTCTTCCCTGAAGCCTGTTCAACAGCATCACAGCATGCAAGGCTGGGTGACCGCTGTCCTGAAGTGCATGAGGTGGGAAGTGAGCCCAAGTCTCTAACCCGGGTCTCTCACATCCCATGTCTTGTCTGCCAGGCAAGAAATCAATCACGGATCCACCGTGGCATGAGGCTCAGCGTCTAGGGGACAGTTCCAGCTCCACATGAGAACAGAGCCTCTCTGCAGTGGTGTAGGCTAGCACAAGACCTTGGACGTGCCTATTTTTACCCATCTGTGGTCCCGGATGAACCTTTCACAGCAGTCTTGCTATAGGCCCAATTCTGTTACTGAAAATAACAAAGCACGAGGCCACCTCTTACCACCCAATACAGTATTTTGTTAGAATGCCTCTGTAACAAATGTCTGAAGCAAACAGGCCACGTGGAGAGATGGATGTTGCAAGAGTGTCCGTTATAACCACACTTAACCACGGGCGTCTGGTGTCTGCTGGGCAGCTGGTCCCTGGTGGGGCCGACTGGTAACGTGCTTGGCTGCCGAGAGTTTGGTTCTGTTCCATGTGGAGGGGCCTCACAAGAGAGGCCTGGAGCCCTAATTCTGACTGCATGCAAGCTGGAGACGAACTAAGATGAAAAATGTTCTAACCTCGACTGGGGCGATAAGTGTACAATTCTTCTGAATAGGACTGAACTACCGAATTGTATGAAAGGTGGATTATGTGCCAATAAAACTGTAAAACAAAACAAACAAACAGAACCTGAGCCCTCGGTGAAATCAAATATCTCCCGCAATGGGAGCGGACGCTGAGTGGCGAGAGCTGCCCGGTGGAAGGGGGCTCTGGAGTCTCAGGCCCTGTCATGGTCAGAGCAGCAAAGGCACACAAGGGTGCGAGGCTCAGCCTCTCCCCTGGCCTCTGGAGTCCAGCCTCTGGAAGACACGGCTGTGACTGATCTCCAGGAGTGTTCCTGGGCCCCTCCGCCGGCTCTCTGCCAAGGTCCGCTACTGGGTCTGTGCCCCAGCCAGCACAGGCTCATAGCCAACGCTCAAGGGAGGGTGCGCAGACCCCAGGAACACATTCTCTGTGAACAGAAGGGACCTGGGCTCCTGGTCCCCCAACTGGGGTGAATGAGCGAGCAACCAAGAGTTGGCTGGTCGGGCACTGCCCTGGAAGAGGTGGGCTGTGGAGTGAAAGTACTTGGCCTGTGCTACTGGGGCATTAGCGAGCTGCTGCCGCGTGCTGGCAGGTTGCTAAGGCATTGACTGCAAAAGACAGCTCCGTGTGGGCAGAGCTGAGCCCACCAGGCCCCAGGCAAAGGGCAAGGGTGTTAGCCTCCTCCTCCTGCTCCCAGCTTCTCCCTTGAATGGGATTGTTGTTTGTGTTGTGCCCTTGCTTTGGGGTGGACCAGGGGCGGGAGTGAAGAGAGCGCACTCGTGCCTCCCTGCTCAGCAGCTCCCTTTTTTGGGTTGCCAAGCTCCCCTCTCTTCTCCTTGTGGCTCAGTTCCCCACCCACCTGCCCTCCTACCTCGCCGCCACAAAAAGCTCCCCCAGCAGCCAGCAGGCAGAGTCCTGGGTCACAGTGGAGGCAGGAGGGGGCACCGCACCAGGGCTGGGGGGCTGGGGCCCGACCGCAGGGAACCTCGAAGGAGCCCTGTGGGAGCCCCTCCCGCGAGGGCAGGCAGTGTAGGAAGGAGAGGGGTGCCGAGGACCTCCTTCCCAGGCTTTCACTGGCAATGGGACACCGCTTCCCTTCCGCTCCTTCCTGCCCCCCTGAACTCACTCAAGTGGAAAGCCCCGCCCTGGCCCTAACCTGCTCAGCAGCTCCTGTGTGCACGTGGACGTGGACGGTCCTGAGCTGCACCTAAGCTTCCCCGTGCCTCAGTGCCTCTCTGTGCCAAAGAGCAGCTCCTAGGAGCAGCCCGAGGGGAACCCATTTCGTGAAGCCCATCAATGCCCTGGGTGGAGGGGGAGCACAGGGGGTGGCAGAGAGGGGCATCAGCACAAGGTCCACTTTTATCAGATCACCCCGCCTGCTCTCTGCAGCCCCAAAAGGGCCTCCCCAGAGGTCATCTGCAGGCAGGTTCCTCACGGGGATGGTTTTGGTGGACGTGGCGATGGGAAGGGTTTTCATGGAAGGGCAGTTTAAGAGCAGTGGTTGTTGCTGGGGCACATCGATTCTGGCTCAGAGTGACTCCGTGTGAGAGGGCAGAAATCCCAGAGGGATTTCTAGACTGCCATCTGACAGAGTCGGTGGACGAGGTCTTTTTCGAACCCCAAACCTTTGGGTTCACAGCTCAGTGTTTAGCTGCTGGGAGAAATAGAACTCCTTCCTCCAGGCAGACTCCTCGGCTCACCCAGTTCCCTTTGGAACATCTCCACCTCCTCCCTCAGCTCTGCTCCCACTGGGACAGGCCCTGGAGCGTCCCTGGAGCCTTCAGCAGAGTCCCCCTCCCTCCCAGGTAACAGGTAGAAGGCTTGCTTGGGTTCTGACTTGTGGCCCTCACGTAATGTCTCAGGCTCTCATGCCCTCCGTGTGTAAATCAAGAGAAGGCCAACTTAGGCTCAAACACTCCCTTTTGGGCCTTAAATGCTTTATGATCTTCTCAGTGGTGGCTGTCTCTTCTCTCTTGGCTATTATTCCCAAGTGGGAGCTGGAGGCTGGAGCGGAGTGCCTGCCAGCTCTGACCAGCGTGCTGGCCCTTGCCTTTGGAGGGCCTCTGTCTGCCAGGTGGGTGGAGGCCCATCGTTGGGTGCCTCTGACACCACCAGCTACCCCACAGGTAGGGCCCCGCTGCGGGAGAAGTTCCTCCAGCGGAGGCGGGCTGTGGCTGCTGGCCCTGGAGCCTCCAAAGGGAATGGGGGATGCACTGTTGTTTTTTCCCCTTGGTCTCTTTGGGAAGAGCCATGGTGGACTTGGGAAACACTGAAGCCTGATTTCAGGAATTTTCCAAGACACTCAGATTTTTAGACAGATGAATCTTAGAGATCAATTCTTTCCATTCTTGTCAGATTGGGCTAGAATCCAACTCTCCTGACTTTGGGTCAAATCTCTTTCCTTAATCTCATGTGAGAATTTCAAGTGCCACTTTTGCCTGCTGATGAGGGAGATGACCAGCCCCATCTTCAGGGCAGGACTGAGGTTCTCATGTGGCTAAAAAGTGTCCCAGGAGGGAAGGGACAAAGGGACAAAGGAAGTCTTGGGCTCCCTCTCTCATATCTCCTTGCTGTCTCCCACCAGGGGTGCAGGGGCAGGAGGGGCACCCAGAGCTTGGCCTGCGCCCCAGAGCACGGCTGTGCCAGTTACCTGGTGCCTCTGCGGAGCGGAGGTTGTAGACAAAGCTGCCAGCTGGCTGCTCCGCGGCTTGGCGGTACCACAGAGGGAAGTGGCCCCTGGTGAATGTGCTGTCCTCGTCCTCAGGAGTCAGGAACTTCCTGTGAGGAGAAAGGTGTGGCATCTGCCCCCAAATCCGGGACTCTCTTCACTTCTGTCTCCTTTTTTCATACCAAGGCATCTTGGCTGGGCCGAGAGAGAGGGAGAGAGAGTCCCTCTCCTTGGGCTCTTGCTGAGACAGTTGGAGAATGTTGCTCGCTGTCACCGAGTGAACCACTCCAGGCACCGTGAGTGGGATCACACCCTTGTAACCCATAAGGTTTTCACTGACTGGGCTGGAACTACAGTGCTCGGCCTTTCTTTCTAGTCTGTCTTAGTCTAGAAGCTCCGCGGAAATCTGGGCAGCATCCCAGCAACATGCAAGCCTCAACCGACAGACGGCATGGCTGCCCATGAAGTGCCTTGATGGAGAATCAATTCTAAGTCACCCCATGGGAGGTGCCAACTCCGCCACTGTCCCCACTTGGAAAATAGTAGCCCCTCAATTGATATTGTTCCAGAAAACGTTCCCCAGCCATTCTGGTCTTTTCCAGAATCAAATTGACGTGGTCACCGATGGCACATTAGTAGCTAGAAGACGTACCTCGCTAGGCATGGCAATATCGACTGCCGTTGAGTTGATTCAAACTCATAGTGACCCTAGATGGGGTTTCTGAGATGGTAGCAATCTTAACGGGGAACAGACAGCTTCATCTTTCTCCCAAAGAGCGCCTGGTGGACTTGAACCGCTGACCTTGTGGTTAGCAGCCCCAATGCACAACCAGGTCCCCTTAGGAGCGGTACAGAATCTGCTCAACAGTACTTAGACAGTATTCCTGTTTCATGAAGGAACCCTTTCCATGTGCATGTAAATGCTTCTGTCTGCAGGACTGAGTTCTTTGGGAATCAGTCTAACATCTTTTTGTCTGACTCTGTGGGATGTTTGAACAAGGAAATTGTACAGCCGATTCCATCAGTGCCCTACCTGAAGGGCATACATCCCTAAAATGGTTACTTAAAAAATCATTGCCCCGAGGTTTCAGATTGCATTATGAGAGGTTTTTTGAGCAGCTTTACCTGGCTAATTATGATTCTGAACACACACCAGGCGGCAGGATGGAGGGCTGGGCCTGAGCAGAGTGGGAGGGAGGAAGGCATGGGGGGGTGGGGGCGGGGATCAGAAAGGGGCCCTGGTAATCCACAAAGTGGCCGCTGAGACTGGCCGGTGACTGACCTAGAATTCCACATGCACCTCTGTCTTGGCTCATGCATCTTGGGGGGCTACCCATGGCCCCCATGAATGGGGGTGACGGTGCTCCCTGGAGGCGTGTGTGTGTGTGTGTGCCCCTAAATGCTAGCTGTGTTCCCGGGAGGCAGGTCCCTGCCTGCTCTGCAGTCTGTCTGCATTTGAGAGCTCCTCCTCCATCCGTTCTCAGAAGCACTGTGGAGAGGGCACCAGGACCATTGAGAATGCTTCCCACCTGCAGCTGGGGGTGCCTTGCCCAAGCCTTGCCAGGCAAAGGCATGGGCACGCACTTTTTGGTTGGGGCAGGAGATGAAGATGGTGTCACAGCTCAGGGAAGAGGACACCCAGGCGGATGGAGAGCTGCAGGTGACAGGGAGTGGCTGTCCAAGGAGCAGGACCTTAGGGCCAGTTCACAATGCCCATCACCTGGGCTCTGGGTCTTCAGCGTCAATTGCTTTACCTTGTGCAAGGCAGTGGGTCAAGAAAGGGTCAGAGAGAGAGGATGCTCCTCTGCCTCAGGGGGCGGGGTAGGGGGAGGGGAAAGGAGGGGGAGAAAGGAGGGACGGCTAGAGAAGAGAAACTTCAGTTTCTTCTGAGGATGTCCCTGACGTAGCGTGGCGAGTGGGGCTCTGTCGCAGAGTGCTGCAAGAGTCAAAGCCATCCTCGGTGGCGCAGTGTCCTTACGTTCAGCGAGAGTAGCACTGTGTGGGTGGAAGGTGCCAGGTCTCCTCAGCGGGCCCTCAGCAGTTTTCCTCCCGGTGCCTGCTTGCCCCCACCCACTGGAGCCGAGTGAGGAGCAGCGGCAGGTGCACATACCCAATAGGGCCCTCTCTGGTTTCTCACCTCTCTTTGCTGCAGCACCCCGAGAGGCAGGTGCCCGGGCAGTCTGCTTCCTGGGCCCCTCGGGCTTCCCCTAGAAGCTGGAGTTAGCTTAAAGTGGGATTTCTTTATTGTGGGGGCTGTGCTGTGCATCGTAGGGCATTCAGCACTCCTGGCCTCACTCACTAGACCCGCAATTCTCAACCTGTGGGTCGAGACCCCTTTGAGGGTTGAACGACTCTTTCACAGGGGTCGCCCGATTCCAAACAGTAGCAAAATGACAGTGATGAAGTAGCGACAAATATAATTGTATGGTTGGGGGGCATCACCACCACATGAACTGTTTTAAAGGGTCGCGGCATTAGGAAGGTTGAGAACCACTGCACTATACCAACGCACCCTCTCCCACTGATGTATCCAGACACTGCCAAATGTCCCCTAGGGGAAGGCAGGGCTGGTGACAGGCTCCTACCTAGCTGAGAACTGCTGACTTTGACTCCACAGAGAGCGGGGCCCGGAGTCCTATCATGTTAGAGTCAGGGCATCAATGGCCCCCCTCTGATAAAATGTCCAGTAGGAACGTGCCTTAGGGCTTGGGAAAATACATACAAAGGAGGGGCTAGAGCCAGAAGATTTAGACCCTCACGGAGATCTATCTCAGAAGGGAAAATAATGTCAAGATTCCCTTCTGTGGTAGTGACATAATCTGTTGTCAATTTGAGAGGATTAAGAGTGAAAGCCTGTCAATAGGGTGGCAGCTTGATGAGTCCATTTGGAAGCGCTAAGGAGATCAATAGCTCACTGGAGGCAGGACACAGACACACTCCCTGCGAGACATGCCCATTGACAAGACACATGGAGCTATGCCAGAGTCCTGGAGCTGGAGGAGCCACGTGGAGACCCCTGCCAGTGTTGAGATGCTTCCACTGCCACTGGATCCACAAGACTTCCCACCCACTGACCTGTGATCTCCCCACATTCAACATCATTGCATGTGTTGTGTGAGTCTGAAGAGTAATTTATAGATTGATATCAGACATATGGGTTAATATCGGACTTATGGACTTGATCTGGACTGGGCTGGGATGTTTTCTTAATGTACAATTACTCTTTATATAAAGCTCTTTTCTATACACATATGAATGTCTATGAATTTGTTTCTCTAGTTTACCCGGACTAGCACACCTCTGTGGAAGCTGGGGGAGCTCTGACCAATACCCCCAACGTCAAGAACTTGGTAAGGCTCTTCCCCAGAGGCCACCTCCGTCTTCCGGTGGAAGGATGACTTGTCTTACTCTCTGATCTGTAAATCCCACTCTCCCAGCAGCCCCAGTTTCCCAACAGGCCTCAGACACAAGAGTCCAATCTCTCTCTGTCCATGTGGCCCAGGTGCACAGCCAGGAGCTGGGGTCCCCGCCCTACCCCCACCCCAAAGCAAACCCACAAGACTCACTTGTCGGCGACCTTCTCGGAGCCCACGAACAAACCGCTTCTAAGGAGACCCGCCCGAGTGCCCAGAAACGCCATGTCCACCACTTCCTGGGGCTCTCTGTGAGGCAGACAGAGCAGGGGAGAGTCACCTGAGGGTGCTGGTCTGGACCAGGGTAGAGAGAGCACACACAGGGCCGTGCCGTCGGCCCCTCTCCTAGCTCCGGGGCCCAGTGTGACTCAGGGAAAAACTTTCTAGGAAGGCTTATTTCTCAGGGAAGCACACACACACACACACACACACACACACACACTGAGCCTCCAGTGTGACACCAGGGAGAACTGGCTCCCTCTGGCAACGCCTCACTTGTTAATTGGATCCCCTGGGTCCCTGCCTCCCTGCCTCTCTGTCTTTTCAGACATTGTTCCTAATTGGTTGGCCTGGCTTTTGGTGGGGAGGAAGGGTTGGATCTTGAAGACATGGAGGGAACTCAGGCAGTGAGATCGTCCTGGGGCCTCAGGGAGCGTTAACGTTCCGGAAGCCACCCTGACAGGCTTGAAGCACTGTTCCCATTCACCTTTTTATTGACATGGAAAAGGAGGGGGCACCGGCGACACAGAGAGCCGTCCCAGTAGACTTCTAATCGTGCCAACAAGAGTGGACAAGATGAAAATTTGAGAGCTCTCAAATGCAGTTCGCCAGTGTGGCTTTCACTAATTTCCCCCACAGTCCCAAGAGCACGATGCTAAGAGCAGGGGCACCAGGAGGTTGAGGACAGACGGGGTCAGGGTGGGAGGTCCTCGCTTCCGGATCCATGAATATCAGCACCCGTGAGTCTGAGGAATCATAACCCAGTGTATCTGGGGTTTGGGTGAGTCGACAAGATGGACATTAAACAAAGCATTGCCAAGCAAAACACTTCTTCACGAAGACCCAGATGTTAGGCGGTTGGTAGAGGAGGCTGCAGCAGGCCCCACCCACAGACCGCACCTGGGATTGGGTCAAAATGTTTGGCTTAGAGACTGGAGACTCCAGTGGTTTAGGCAGGGAGTGCCACAGAATCAGATGAAAATGTAGACTTTTCAGACACCCGAGTCTTGCCATCGACCTGCCATTAGTTGAGGGTGGGGATTGAGTGGGGTGGTAGTGGTGGGGAGGGGAGGGGGGCGCCTTGCACAGGTGTAGCTTTAAAAACGTTCAGATCTAGTTCAAAAGTAGTGAGGGCAGTCCCCCAGTGTCCATGACAGCATTATTCACAAGAGTCACAAAGTAGAAACGAAAATGACCTGGGTCGCCATCAGCAGCTGAGCAGATAAACATGTGGACCATCCATCCAGTGGGATGCTGTCCAGTTGCGGGGCATGCAGTGATATGGCTGCTAAGTGAAATATGCCAGAGCCAAAGACAAAGTTTGTGTGATCACACTTACATAGAATGTGCAAATGCATAGAGACAAATGTTTATGAATGGTTAGCGGGGGCTGAGGGGAGGAGGAGGAGGATGGGAGCTATTTTTGAAGGGCTATTGACTTTGTGTTTGGGGCGAATAAATTTAACTCCCTGTTTTGGAATGGATTCCAACTCATAGTGACCCTATAGGACAGGGTAGAACCGACCCTGTGGGTTTCTGTAACTTGTTATGGGAGTGGAAAGTCTCCTTTTTCCTTCTGAGAAACCGCTGATGGTTTTGAACTGCTGACCTTGTGGTTAGCTGTCCAACATGTAAGCACTCTGTCAAGGGGGCTCCTTGGGGGTGCCTAGTGGTATGGAAATGAATGGGGGTAAACGTGATTCATGTCGCTGAGCTGTACCCCTATAAATGGTGCAGGTGGCCGTCTTTCTTTTCAGTGGTATCTATTTTATTACAGCAAAATAAAAATTGAAAAATGAGTGACCATAGTATAATGACCCTCACATACTCATCAGTAAGCCTCAACAATTACCAGCTCATGGTCAAGAGAGTCTCATCTACAGCCTCCTTCCCTCACCCAACTCGCTTCTCTTGAAGGAAATCTCAGGGCTCATTTTATCTGTAAACATGGTAGCCTGTATCATGAAAATGAATGATAAAAGAAAGGACCCAACCTCAGTAACATTATCACCCCTTAAAAGGCCCCCCGTACCTCCTACATATCAGGAAATAACTGGTCAGTGTTCATAATTTTCTAACTACCTCATTAATTTTTTAAGTTTTCTGGAATCAGATCTGATGACTACTAACTGGTTGATGATATCTGTCTCCCTCTCCCTCTATTACCTTATATATATGATATAGCATAACATAACAATATAATGTGACTTATAATATACCATAGCTGCATTATACATGGGTAAGTAAAAAAATCATTGAAAAGAAAATGTTCTAAAACTGATTGTGGTGATGATTGTACAACTCTTCTTGATGTGATTCAACGATTGAATGGTATGATACATGAATTATATGCCAATAAACTATGTGGATCATAACAACTGTGGCTAGCCTTGAGAAGAAAGGGGATTCCAGAACATTTCAAAATATATATCTAGCTCCTAGGGCTCCAGCTCATGCATGCATGGATTTACGCCAAACACAGTATGTTTAAGCATGCCTCTGTGCTCAGTACATGGCTGCACACAAGTTCTCTCAGGAACACTCTTGTCTCGTCATTAGGGTCACTACAAAGAAAGGATGGTGCAAAGATCAACTAGCTCAGAGCTCATCTTTCCATTAGTCTTTTAAGCAAGGCTGAAGCTACTGAAGATGGTTTTATGGATCATAACCAGGAAGTTGTCTTAGATTTACCAATACAAGCCGGAGAGCAAGGGCCAATCCAATGTCTTTTGAGAGGATCTGCTGGGCCAGTTCAATTCAAGGCCAAGCAGTCAGACCAGGAAGTCTATGCACATGGCTGGTTGTTCCTGTTGTTGCTCTTTCCTTCCAGAGAGGCTAATGTGCGTAGAGTTTCTCTAAAGACTCAGGAAGGTCATGGCAGCTTCTTAGGAAGGAGGTTTAAGAAACTCGAAAACGGCGTTCATTTGAAAAAGGCCAGGAAGTGTACCAAGGAATTCCCCCACCCCCCCATCACGACAATGCACCTGTTCACTCTTCATAGGTAGCAAGGGCTGTCCTTTAAGGATGTCATTGGGAAACCTCACCCCATCCAGCCTACAGCCCTGGTCTTGCCCTTTCAGACTCCTGTTTTGCTTCCCGCACTGAGAGAACATTTGAAAGGAACACCGTGTGGGTCCCTTTGGAGAACACCCAAAGTGCCGTCTGGCAGTGGTGTAAATCAAAGGATACAGGGTCCTTTGGTGGGGGGTTGGAGGGGGGGAGGGAAAGGCTTCCTTCAAAGGATAGAGACCCAAGGGGGATATGTCCAGAAACAAGCGCATCACATGTTAGCGTTTCGTTAAATAAAAGTTTCTAGGGCATTTAGCAGTCGTCTTTTACGGACTCACGCACATGAACGGCTGTATGCAGTAACATCATATGAAGGAGCCATGATGGTGTCATGGTGAGGCACCTATGCTTTGGGCTGCTAACCGACGAGTCAGCAGTTTGAAACCACCAGTGGCTCTGGGGGAGCAAGACAAGGCTTTCTACACTGGTAAAGAGTCACAGATTCGGAAACCCACAGGGGCAGTTCTACTGGGTCCTATAGGGTCACTGCGTTGGCATCCACTCGATGTCAGTGAGTTTAGGGACCCCGTGGGAGAGAGAGCTGGCCATCTGCTTCCATAACGGTTATAAGCCAGCAAGCCCCAGGGGCTATTGTCCTCTGTCACCTGGGGTCCACGTCATTGAAATTGACCCAAGGGCAGCCAGCAACAACACAATATAATACATAACTTCTTCATTGAGATAGAAGCCACAGACCATGCACCCCGCCCATGTAAAGCGGCTTTCAGTATATCACAGAGCTGTGTGGCCATCATGACTATCGACTCCATTTGTATTTCTTATCACCCCCAAAAGAGAGCCCGTGGTCATCTTTTGTCCTTTTAAAGCCCCGTTCCACTTTCTTCTCTCCCCCTCTTCTCTTTTCCTTGAAATGTATTGCTGATCAAACCAGGTCGTTTGTCCTATAGGGCTCCTCATGTTCTGGAGTCTGCTGGCTTTACTGAGCGTGCTCTCTTGTCTCTGCATTGGCTGTGAAATAGAAATACAGAAAGCAGAGGCCTGGTGGCGTAGACCTGGCATCGGTGTACTGGGCTGCTCGTTGGGTGGCTAACCCCAAGACCAGCAGTTTGAACCCCCGCAGCTGCCGGCTCAGAGGGAGGAAGATGAG